TCAATTAAGTCATTGTTACAATACACGTAAGATCATAAGCATGTCATTTTTTATTTTTTAAAAAAGCATGTTATTTTTAGATTTGCAAATGTTATCTCTAAAATGCCTTAGCATCAGTGCTTCTGAACTCCATATTGTATACATTTTAGTTGCTGAAGAGTTCGTAAATACATGCTAAATTCATGTAAAACATAATTTGTTCCACAGTACACCAATTTGGCTTGTAATTTCACCGTTACTTTCTTTGTCTCAAAAGCCTTATATTTTTTAAATACACTTAAATATGGTAATTAAAGAAAACATCTTTCTCCTTGAAATTCTGCCATTGTGTCACAAATAATCACTGGAAAGTTCTTTTAGCCAGCAGCCCCATAGCAGAGAAAAAGGATGCCCAAAACATGCTTTCAAAGTGTCTAGAAGAAGGATTAACAACAGGCTGGTGAAAGCCAGTCTCTAATCCCTAGATCAAGTGTAGAGACATGTGCCAAGTCCATCATTCTGTGGCAGTATCAGCTGAAACTTGCTCAGACTGACCTCAGGGAACAGTGTGGTCGGCAGCTCCTCAGGATGCAGCTCACACATATACCTGTGTAGTGATAGGCTAGACAAAGGTGTTGGAGATATGGAAAATATACGAGGAAGACTGAGGGATCAGGAGAATTGATGACCTAGACAGTGAGCCATGAAAGGCATTTGGACACCTGGAGATGGATTTGCTTTCTTCACTCTCCTTTACCTAGGGCATTTTTATTTCATTTTGCATATACACTGCAGGATGGACTAGGATCAGTCATGTTACATAAACACAAAGTTGCTCCAACATACTGTCAATGTGATGAAGTGAGGTTTACTCACTGTCCTGAGGTGTCTCCATGAAGATTTAAGTTAAGCAGTTTCCCAATACCCCTCACGCTGTTGAGAGGGATTTTCCTATTTATTATAGCCCTGTTATGATAGATGCACATACATAATTATACTAAACACAGTATGCTCATGTACAATATATTAAACAATTGAGCTTCCCATTCATATAATCCAATCCTATAATAACACAGGCACAGAGAAGTTTGAAAACTGTTAACTCTTTGGTATCTGAACCAAGTTAACTGCTGAACACCAGGAATATAAATAAACCTCTAAAACATCCCCTCATTTATGAAGAGTGATTTCAGTTTTGGATGCAAATGTGTACAAAGTTACATTGCCTATGTGGATAAATTTACCTATGAACATATGAAGGTTTGGTTATAAGTGAACAAAACCCTTTGTTTAAAATTCCAAAGTAATGATATAATATTGCTATATAACATACCATTTTCTAAAATACAGGTAGATAATAGATATTGCTTTAGGAAATAATTATTGTCACTGTATTTACAAAATTAAGTGATAACTAGTTCCTAAGTAACTAATAAATAAAATTGACAAACATTATCTACATATCTATCAGGCATGGAAGAAGCCAGAGTGGTCTGCATCCTGATTCCCTATTGGCAATTTGGGTAACCTCTTCAGGGGATGGTGTGATAAAAATAGGAGGTAGGAATTGGCTTGGGCAGTTAGGGTAAAAAACCCCAAAGAAAAGTAACCAGTTCCTTGGCTAAAAATCAAAATGTCCTTGGGTCTCTTAGCAGCATATTCTGTTCCAAAGGGCCTCTTAGCAACATACTCTGTTCCAAAGGCCAAAAATGTCAAAAGTATTTGGGAGCACTTATCTAATCCCTAAAAGATTTTAGGGTTACCTCCTCAGAGGGGGAAAATGTTAGAGTAGCAAAAAGCTCCATAATAAAGAAAGAGTACATGGAGTTGTTCAGGAAATAGTGATGGGGAGATATGGGAAGAGTTGGAGGGGAGGGAGTGGGTGTGGATTTGATCAAAACACCTTATATGCATGTATGAAATTCTCAATTTTTTTTAAAAGTTGAAAAAAAAGAATCTATATATCAGGGCTGAGAATATGGCTCAGTTGGTAAAGTACTTGATACTCAAGCATGAAGACCTGAGTTCAGATTCCAACAGCCCACATAAAATGTTGGGTGTGGCAGCATGTACCTATAATAGCAGTTCTGGGAGGCAGAGATAGGAGAATCCTGGGGGCTCACTGGCCAGCCAGTCTAACAATCATAATTGTTAGAGAGAGATAATTGTGAGATCCAGGTATAGTGAAAGACCCTGTCTTTAAAATATAAGATAGAAAGAGGAGGTTGCTTGTCATTGACCTCTGACCTCCAGGAGCATATGCACAGGTACACACACACACACGAAACACATATATGCAAAAAAGTTTACTTGCCAGTCACTAAGGTTGAAAAACTCTTTTAAATATAATCTTTGCTCTTAATCAAATACATAATAAAAGATCCAAGAATGAATTTCATGTTTTCAACTTAGAATATCTAGAGAAAATGTACAAAACATGCCTTATATCCATTCATAGCAACTGTGACCCATTATTTTGTAATGTATCACAATTATCTATTAAAAAAAGAGAATGATAATTCAATAATTCATAGACTGATTTACCCATGTGAGTGCTTTCTCACAGTGGGAACAGCTTCTAGGAGTCTTAAAGCTCAATGGAAGAGCACCCAACTAGCTGCAGGTCATGAACAGTATGAAGGTGAGACCAGCATTAGGCTTTTTTAGGATGAGCTAAATATCAAAGTCAGCATCTTTATCTTGACTCCTTAAAAATATCTTCAAAAAATATTAGAAAGCATCAATCTCTTAGTAAAATAGAGTATTAATTTCTAGTTGTTTCTCTGTTCTACCAATTTCAAAAAAAAAAAACCTCAACTTTTAAAAATAAGCTCTTAACTGCTAATAAAGATTCTTCATATACTTGATCTAGGGTTTAGAGCTATCTACATACATACATCAATTAGTCTAAAGATTCCCAAACCTTCTTGTCTCATAGTGAAAATATCTAAACAACTTTTTTTCATGCTGCTTCTCAGCCAAACAAGTATTTAATGATTATTTTTATTAAGCAGTTTAGTACAAATAGTATACTGTACTTAACAAGTATTTGTGTGTTTTAACAGTTTAGAAGATGTTTAGTCAAATAATACATGTGAATTGAAAGAAAAATAGTAATTTTGTTTCCATTTAACCACAATTGCTTACTAATGGTATGTGTATGCATGTGGATGCCTGTTGTGCAGAGAGACTTCCCAGACCATGGAATGAAGTTATACACAGCTACTCAAGTTCCCTGATTTTCAACATAGTAACAACCCCAAATCCAGTTTTTCAGAGATGTAATGTCATCAAAAGAAATACGGCACAATCTGTTGTGTTGAAATTGTGAACCACTTCAATCAAATACTTCATTAAGTATCCAGCTGTTTCCTCAAATTTTTAAAATATTCTCCAATATCTCTATGGATTCATGGAGATGGCTCAGGGCATCTCAGTCCACAGCTTAAACCTCATGTGCTTAAACAATGACTGCAGATCTCCTCATCCTGAGGTTTTTCTCATCTCTGCTCATTTTCAGATCCTGAGAATTAAAAGAAACAGAAAATAAAGTCCTTCTCAAAGTGACATCAGCTTTCACTAGCTCTTTTAGACCAGACAGTAGTGACTAGATCCCTACATCAACAACATTATGTACATTTTACCAAACATACTGCCTCTCATAATTATTTTCAGTTTGCCAAAATCCTATTGGTATTGAACGTGTCTTCGGTTGTAATTTTCTACCATTTGTGTCCTCTTTTTTTGCTTTTTAGCATCTTTCCATTTAATGTTTCAAGTCAGATTTCCAGTTTAATGGTTTTCTGTGTGAAAAATTATAATTTTAAACATATATTTTAAGTCATATTTTATATAAGAAAAATTTCATCAATTTTATGGTTGATTAACTTCACTGTTTGTAACTTTTACCAGTAATTAACTCAACTCATAATTCCAAGCATCTTTACTAATCTCAATTTCCTCACGTTTAATTAATAAACTGGGTATTTTTCCTTATGAAATAAAGAAGAACATATGACAAGATACAATGATTATACTATCAAACTGGTAGTTACCTGATTGATTTTTTTCAAATATTCATTGCAAAAAGAGGTTGTTTTGATTTGATGAGCAAAATGAGGGAAATGGGGAAAAGTATTTATTGCACATGCTACGTTACCAAGGAATGTGGGAACGGAATTGGAATCTATTCATAAATAGAACAGTAACCTTTCAGGCCTAGAGACTCGGCTTCCAAATTTAGAAGTCTCAGTTTCTCATAGCACATAAAATGGCTGATGCATTTGCATGTATTTCACTTCACGTTTTGATTTTCTTAAAGGTAAATGATATGCATATTGCTCAACATTACAAAGTCAATGCATTAGATTTTAATACATGCTCATTTCAATGCTATGCTTATCAGTACTGCCACTGATTTCAATTAAGGTAATTTGCATAACTGTAGGAAGACAAGGAAATTTCATAATGCTACATATTCTTTATGAAGCCTCTCTAATGTATCTTGCCTATGTCAGCGGATAACTTTTACCTCAAGAATTAGTTGATCGAGATAATTCATTTGTGGTTATAAGTACAAAGTAGTAAATCTAAATGAATTCACAAATGTATATTAAAACATGGCTCTTAAAGCTAAACTGTAGATAATCCATAGCTACAAAAGCTAGCTGTGCCATTTCTAGACTTAGGATACATTGACTGTAAAAAAACACAGTTGAGCTCTTTGTCTTGGATTTCATTAAGGAAGAAAACATTGAATGTTTAATAATTTTTGTTCTTTTTTTAAAGCGTTGCCCATCTACTTCTGAGTCAGACCCTTGGTTTTGTTGCTGTTCTTGTTTCGCTTTGTCTGTTTTACTTTGGGGAAGGGCGTGAGATTTGCAGATCTATTTCATGATTACTAATGCTGACTGTTCATCTTTCCATGAATGTCTGACACACTGCACTTAAAATGCATGATACTGCATGTGCTTTCTCTGTTGCCTTGGCCTCTTGCTATATCATATTTTTGCTTCCAGATAGCGGTGGGTGTGCTCGCAAGCGTGCCGCCATGTCTGTTACGTTAACATCTGTGAAGAGAGTTCAAAGTTCTCCAAACCTATTGGCTGCAGGTATAATATGACTAACTCAGAGTGTCACACTTGAATGGCTTTACCTCACCTTTGTCTTTCCAGAATCCTCTCATTTGAATGAGTAAAGAGACTGTAAACACCTTTCAAATCCTACTCCCCCCATATCTTAATTTTTCTAATCTCAAGAATAAGGTCTATCCTTTCTGGTTTTGTTATAAAAATAAAAAGCCAAAGGAAACTTGATACCCTCTTAAAAATGAACATTTAAAAATATAATCAAAAAGTATCAGTCACTCGCCAAAAATATGTTAACTGAAAGTGTTAATAACTATTTGTGTGTTTGTTATCTCATGAACTAAAGTAATATGATGCTTTAGTAAGATGACGTGTTTCTTTGGGAATGCAGGGATTAGGAAAAAAGACTTGATCAAAGTGGATCTTTATTAATGTGCTTCTTCACCAAAGATTGCAAATAGAATAACAGAACATTAGTTTTGGGAAAAAAAAATCTTAGCCTTCAAGCAGTCAAAACAGTGATGACCTATCTAATACATATTTATAAACATATCAAAATCGTGACCAATTTAGATTAACTTGTACCCACACATAAAAATATAGCCTAGAAAACAACTGAGAATGTGACATTTCAGCACTCACTATGGTGACTCTCTTCTTAATTAATGTCTGCAATGGCTTACCTATGCCTGTGAGCACTGACTGTGTCTAGAATATCTACAGCTATAGAAGAAGATCAAATCAAGCCCAGCAAATCCCTGTCCCTAGACCCTGGAAAGGAATAGCCTCTGGGACTGGTTGGTTACTTGGTTGGCTTCATTGTCATTTCAGTTGCAGTTTAGTTTCCTTGGTTTGCATTTATAAGATTAATTAGTTGTATAGCAGAAGTGGGGAAGTGATAAAGAGTCTTTAAAGACTCTCACTATGTTTCAGGCTTCTGAAATGTTTAGTGGTTGAGTGATACTGAGGGTGTACTACCCAGCTTTATTAAAGAAAAGGATGAACTTCCACAGAGTTAGAGCGATGGCTCAGCAGTTAAGAGTACTGGCTGCTTTGCCGAGGGCTTGGGTTAGATTCCCAGCATCCACGTGGTGGCTAATAACCATCTATAACTCCAGTTCTAGGGAATCCAATGCCTTCTCTGACCTCTGTGTGCATTGCACAACAGGGGTACACTTACATATATGCAGGAAATACACTCATACACACACAAAAATAATTTTTTTAAAAAAAAAGAAAAAGAAACTTTCACATGGAAAGTTCCATTTCCACCTACTACCCCCAATCCACCAATTGATTTCAATGTCCAGTTAGAAGATCTCATGTTATACTTTTGTAACATGGAAGTTACTATATAATATGTATTGCAGCATATTTAATATGATTTCATTTGTATTTAAAAACCACTCTGGATATATCTCTACATATTTGTTCATGTGTGTATAAATATGAGAATGTATTATAAAAACTACAGACTTATTTACACTGGATGCATTGGAGAAATGAGAGGAAAAAACATAAGAAAGTAAGGGGCAGATGCATCATGTACTTGGAATGCCTGTGCCATGAAATTCATTGACATTTCAGCCAGGCAAAATCTCAGATGTGATCGTTGACACACATGCAGAGAATAACTCGCCGTGTCAACAGTGCCAATTTGTTATCTCTTATTAAAGTGACCGCCAAAGGATAGCATTGGATTGAACCAAAAACTTAATTTGGGAGAGTCAAAATCGCAGTATGAGCAATTTCACACCAATCAACTTAATAGGAAAGATTTAATGTTTCACAATTAAACTAGAAAAAAAAAAAAACAAGCCCAATGGCAGGTTTACAGT